TATTTATTCGTTAGAATTACGCACTCTAGAACCTCTATAAAAGTTTATACAATGCGAGATTGTGAATCCTTTCCACTCGGGGAAGTCCCCTTGCCATCCCTCTGAGACCCCATCCACCCACATCCATCCCTCCATTCCACTGCGCGCTGCTTGTGTCCTGCTGAGCCAATCCGAAGCCCCGGCTTTGTGTTTCCTATTGCCGCGACACCGTAGGTCAGTGGCAGGGTCATTGCCTCACATCCCACCCGCCATGGGGTCATGTTTCCTGGTTGCTAATCTGTACGCCAGGGCCGACACAAAGAGGGCTCTCTGTTATGGCTGATCAGTCAAAGAGAAGAAGAGACTTCTGCAAAGTTAGCAGAAAGCTGCTGTCAGTGTAAGTCGGTGGTTTTTATGCGTTCCTGCCATGCAGTTGCTAAAAGGGGATTGTGATTGTGCTCTGTCGGTCAGTCCCTCCCTCCCGCTCGTCCCTCTGCTCAGTGTTCACACACACAGCTGTTTCCTGTTGAATGAGAGGGTATTTAAAAGAAGGAGAAAGGAAGAGAGGAAATCAGTCATTAACTATTGTTGGGGCGAAGGTTTGATTCCATTTCAAGCTTTTCACAACAACCGTTTTTGGTTAAAACTGAGGTTTGAAGGCAGTGAGAACCCTGCAGCGAGTCATGCTGACGTGCCGGGTTAACCCAATTAAATCATTTTCTCTGTTCCAGGCTCATGCTGCTTTCCATTCAGAAATCAATTAGCAGCCTCTTCAAACTGAGGTGAACTGTGTAATCCATCAGAGTGAAGACGATTGTGCATTTAAACTACATTATCGCTCAACAGTGTGTTGAGGAGCATAGAGAAAACTGTAATGGATTTCAGAACTCGAGCTTCGAGAACCGGCCAATTGATTTTTATCCCCCCGCAAGAAAGAAAGTAAAATCAGTTGTCTCTACAAATGGTAGGAAGCATTCATCCTCGAACTTAAAACTGCACAGAAAGCGTTTAGAACATTCAGCGAAGTCAAAGATTTTTATGCTTTGATGCAGGGAAACATCTTCTGATTTTCATCCCCAGCCACCGGGACAAAACAATACTCTGGCAGGAAAAGGGTGATCTAATGCAACATGAGGTACAATTTAATCAGCATATTTTTTTTTATTCCCGTTTTAAAGTCTCAAGGATCTAATTTATTATTCAAGCGTGAGCATTTTGACCATTTCCTTCCTGTTTCTGTGCAAAGTGGAACATGTGGGAAACAATTTCGAGCGTCAGCAGCAACCTTCAGCTGCGTCGACCTTTTTTCACCTTAAGGGTGCTGAAATTAGGGTTTTACATAAATACCAAAGAGAAGAAAAACATTTTAGTTAACACGAGTGACCTGCTATCAACATTTCTATCCTTTCATGTACTTTACTTGAGGCTCCTTTTGTCCAATTGACTGCATCAATCCAGCGTAGCATAGAGGGAGTCAGGCTGTGGCTCTTTTGAGCCTTTAGCTTTCTTCTTTCTTGGTTTTGGTGTCTGAAATTCTCTGCCTGCAGCATTATAGTTTCTATTATATATCAGATAAATGGATGGATGACAGATAGTGACAAATAGGGAGAAATAAATTGATTATAAACTATGGATTAACAAAAAGATTGATGATAAAGGTAAAATATTGTTGTTCCATCTCACTTTTACCTTCCAATTCATTTTTTTTACTAAATGCTAGGATACAACTTACTGTGACCAGCTGACTTCCTTAGAAATCATCTTGTCTGACTTCTCTTTGTGGCGTGTGTGAGGGTCTGTCCAGTCTGCAGTCTTCCTCATAAACATGTCAACCTTAGCATAATATTTCCAACACCTCATTATTTATTGCAGGCATGCTATATTTAAATTTCCAAAGAAGTTTGCTGAGTTTGGCTTAGCTGAAGGACATTATCTTATAAATGATAATGCATCAGTAAAACATATCTGATAGCCTTTTATTTTTTTTAACACTTAATTTTATTAATAGATTTAGTTTTTTGTTAGAAAAGACTTTGTTAGCATGCAGGGTTTAATGATGTCATGTATATCATATTAAATGCTGAATTAGTGACCTGGCTTCGATCTCTATAGTCGCAGAGAAAGGTTGGAAGAAGCTTCTGTTAGTCGAAAATTGGATTTATGTTGATTTTAATATTTATGATAAAAGTTTTACCCCGTTACCCAAAACATCCCAGCCCACTGTAACCTCTCTTTGAGACATTACAATGTTTTAGTGCCAGAATGAAGCAACAGGGTTTTTTCTGCAGTAAAATCTTCCCAGGCATTGATGACTTTGGTAAAAGGAAAATGCCTGGTAATCCTAGATGTTATATCCTGTCCCATCCATGTTTCTGAGTTATTTTTTGGTCTTATTCCTTAATGACCTCTAAATTCAGCAGATGTTAAACACAGCAGCACTCTACAGTTGTTGCTTTTGTTTCCATATATATATTTTTATTGGGTTATGAGGATACAATATATGCCTTTTCATGAGAATCAGTCAATGCAATCAACTGGTTTTCCTTAGATACAAAACTTTGAATCAATTGGACTGTATGAACTGGTGAACTGTAAAGTGCCTTGAGATGGTGTGTGGTGAATTGACGCTATATAAATAAACTGAATTGAATTGAATAAATATTAACGATGAACAAACACGACTCTCTCCCCCAAACGAGAAAACAGGAGGGGCAGATGGTTATTAATTAAAATAAATAATACTAAATGACAAAGCAACATTTAGAGGAGGAACCTGAAATGCTTGGAGAACAAAAATGTCGCTAGTAGTTTTTACATGTGCTTGTAGTTCTGCCACCAAAACATCAAACCAACCCACTGGCCTGTCACAATCCTGACTGGAAAAAAAATAAAAAAAGATAATTAAGCGTTATTCAATTAAAAAACAGTTAGGTAGTGTATATTAATAAGAACCATCTTCTTTAATCATCTAAGGAGGGAATTAAATCAATTAAGGAAAGAATGGGAGTCCAACTTTTCTCAAATTTGTTGGCACACCCCCTAATTATGGATGAGTACTGGCATGGGTGTTGCGATACGATACGTCTCACGATGCAATGTTATCATGATACTGCAATATCACTATATATAGCGATATTTTACCTAGCTGTCAAAATGAAATATATTGATAAAAAAGCAAGTTCTGTATATGTTTATTAGAATCCATGTTGTTTGGGATTTGAGTTAGTCCACGTGTTCTACAGTGACTGCCTCTACTACAGAAATGGTGCTGTCGCACAAAGAAAGGGCTGCACACTGCCATCTGATAGAGTAGCTGTGCAGAGGAAGCCCATTTTCACTCACTATTTTAGAGAAAAAATTCTGCTTTTAAAAATCGATATTAGGAATGAAAGCCTTTCAGCCTAGAGTCAGGGGAGGGAGGGTTCTTATCCTTGCACTTGAGTAAAATGCGTCTGCATGCTACCAGAGCAATAGCGTTACTTTCCCTGTTGGTGAAGTGTGTAAATTCTTTAAGCACACCAAAGATGGAGGTTAAAGGACTCTGACGCAATGCTTTGATTAGGGCTTTTGGAAAAGTATTGTAGAAAGAGGACCAGAATGAGCTTACGTAATTTGGGACAGGAAAAAAACATGTGCGTATGACTGGCTGGTGACAGAGAACATCTGTCCCATGTATCACTTGTATTAAAAAGTTTTTTTTAGTTTAGCTTTGGAATAATGTATCCTGTGTAGGACCTTAAACTGTATTAATGTCAGACTGGAACAAAATGAGGTGGAGTTGACCCTGTCAAAGGCCCCTCTCCCATCCTTTGTCTGACATGGGACAACTCTTGTACAAGGCCACCCTTGGCCAATCATTGGCCACCCCTGTGGCCACCCCTACCATTTAATTTCCCTCTAATACAGATGATGGCAGCTGTAATAATCTCAAGTGGAATATTCAAAACATTTAAAATATTCATATATTAACAATTACTTGACAACAAAAAACACTGTGGTTAATTATGCACATTAAAATACTCACATTAAAGATGATAAGTACAGAATTCATGCTCTTTGCAGATTTTGTGTTTCATGGGGTAAAGAGACTCTGCAAGTCATCTAGGAGTCTTCTGTGAAATCATAGATAAATAACTATTTTAATTAAAAAAAACATATTAAATAATCTATTTATGTAGATATTAGTACTTGTAAATATCAATTTTATCCAGAATGATTGTTTATAAAAGTAGGTAAGTAAAGACAATGGAAAAGATGTTCGCCCCAGAACTCGAACCTGAAAGAATTTTATCCACTATACCTTTTATTTAGAAAGCACAAATGTTTAAATATACATATGCGTCTGTCTATTTGTTACCAAAGGCTGTGGGGAAGTATAGTTTGTTTTTATTTAGAAAATATGGATGTTTTGCTTGTTAATTTTCCTGTTGGAAGAGTGTAGGTCTGGTGCCACCCCTCTGTGTACATTGGTTATTGCCTGGCCACCCTTATAAACATTTTCTGGCTACGCCTCTGCCTGAGGCAAAGACTAATCCTAAAGTTAACCTTTCTGTGGTTCAGAACCTCACATTCCCTCCAACGGACCAGAGATACTTTGCCTGAATCCATTAAAATCCCAGACTCCTGAATTCAAACTGAGTTAAAGAACTAGATGAAGAAGCTGTATTGATAATCGTTCTATCGGGGGATCCTGATCTAACTGTGGGAAGCTCTGCTGGAGCTACAGATGCAGAGATAGAGACAACATTTGGTTCATCTGGTGGAGCTGCAGCATATTTAACAGAAATATAATGGGGCTGATATGATTATGGGGGCTATGTGGTCTCTGTTGCATTGATTTGTGTTTTATTTAATCAGAAGCCACTTCTTTAGAGTGAGAATCTTTTCAGGCAGAAGTCAAAATCCAATAGCTTTAATAATCAGATTAAGTCCTCTAATTTCATTTTTTTGAGCCAGTTATGTTTCCCTAGTGTTTAAAAAGACATTTGAGTCTAAGCTATTTTTTCCCTTCTTGTCTGCAGAGCGAATCAGTCAAATACTTCCTGGATAACTTGGATCGTATCGGACAGCCGGTGAGTCCCGCTTAAATGTTCCCAGCGTCTTTTTGTTGTTTGTTTCAAGAATTCAAGAAAAATCTTTCTTTCCTTATTATAGAGCTACATTCCAAGCAAACAAGATATTTTATTTGCAAGAAAGGCCACTAAAGGGATAGTGGAGCACGACTTTGTGATCAAAAAGATTCCTTTCAAAATGGTGGACGTTGGCGGTCAGAGGTCGCAGCGGCAGAAGTGGTTTCAGTGTTTCGATGGGATCACATCGATTCTCTTCATGGTGTCGTCATCAGAGTACGACCAGGTATGTTCATGTTGAAGCTCACCTACATGCACCTACATGCATAATGCATAACAAGTTGAAATATAAGATTTAGAGCCTCTGAATTTATTTGCACAGAAATCTCAGAAGGATGATCTTTGATCATTCCTGTTTCACACAGTCCTGGTCCCTCACTTATGTTCTCTTTAGCTCAGCAGTTGTTTTCTACTGGTTTTTGAGGCTAGAGATGAAGATGTTTCTGGAAACAGGTTGATTTTCTGTCTGATGAACCGTTACTGTCTTTGCTAAAAATGTGAATAATTAATCATCCTTATTTAGGCCCAATTTTTTATTTTTTTCCCCAGGGACGGTAAAAAAAAATTCAAAGAGTTTACAACAAACATTTCTTTTACACATTTATCCCTTGTTAAATCCCTGGAGTCTTTGCTGCTTTAAAGCGCAACCTCAGCACCATCTGACCAAGGTGCTCCTTTGCACTTCACATGTTTATACTTTTGACTTAAGGACAGAGATGCTTTTATATTTTTAAGATTTGCTCTAAAACAACCTGCTGGCTTGTAGATAACATCTAATTGTTGTTGTGTAAACCTGGTGACCCCAGGAGGACAAACTTTGTGTCTTTTTGCGAAGTGTGGCAGCAAATGAAACTTTTGCTCCTTCAGCTTTGTGATTAGGGAAAATAGGCTGTAGTCCTGTAGAAAAGTAGTAAATCCCATTAAAGATTGAGTTTTTTTTCTTAAAAAAAGTTCCCTAATCAATTTTTGGTTTTTATTTATGACCATAAAAGTCCTGCGCCTAAAAGATCCAAATCTGAATTCTCAGATTTCCTTCCGTTTTAGGCTATTGTAATATTTCCAGGTCCATTTGTTCTTAAGGTTTCATTTTCTTTACAGATTGTCTTTTATTTTCCTCCATTTTCCTGGAGGAGGGGGGAATATCTGTATATGATTTAGGTCAAAACCTGTCTTATGTTTTGTCACTAAGATTATTTAACTTTAGGCACATCAGTGCAGAGAACTTTATCCCAGCAGTCCCTTTTTTCTTTTATCACTTTGTCAAACTTAAATCTGGCCTCTGTGTTTTTCTCGAAAAGCAAATGCTTCATATCATCAGTAACGAAAGAGAAACAGTGACATGTTAGCATCTTGCTTTCAAAGTGAACTTCCAGGGACTATCAGACCTGAACATGTTGGCATTTGTTTGGACTGTCCTCTGCCTGTTGAATCATGTTTCTCAGTGGAGGGCCTGATTCCAGTCCCTTAGAGTTATGGAGGAATGTCTTGCTTCCATCTCTGCTCTATCTTGATTATGTTTATTCTCTAAAAAATCAGTTAGACTCATCTATTTAGACTGGCTTTTAGTAAGTTTTATCTGTGATCGATGCTATTTAGATATAGATTTACTTGAAGCTGCTTTGCTGCTACAGTCCTTAGTCTGAAGATGTCTCCTTTGATCTCACCAGGGTTCATCCTGACCCCAGCAGTGACAAGCTAACTGAATATATCTGGGGATTTAAGGAGGCAAACCTCCTGTAAAATGCAGAGCAACAACATACTCCTCATTTCTTTCAATTAAATAAAAAAAAAAAAACATTTTCCAAACCTTTTCAGAAAGTGTTTTTCTTAATAATTTCCCATCCGCTACAAAAACACGCTGGTTTTTTCTTGTGTTTTCTCATTTTTATTATCTCCCTACATAATTACTGTATGTCCAAGGGCAACAAAAAGTAAAGGATTCCTAAATAGAAATTATGAGAAAATTAGTTGCTTAAAAGACATTTATTTTAAAGAATTGTTTCAACAACTGTTAATTTAAGATATGTCAATTAATGCCGGTTTTTAAGCAGAGGGCATAATTTGTTGTCATACCAACAATATCTGTCTGCAAAATCATGTCAGACGTTAAAAAGAGAACTTTTCCTCCAGTCTAAACCAGGCATGTCTCTCGTTTTTCCTCCAGGGCAGCTGTCCTGCAAGTTTTCATTGTCTCTTGGCTTCAGGACACAGCTGATTTAGGCGACTGTAGTTCAAAATCTATTAATTAGCTATCAATGGAAATCAGCTGCAGGAAGACCTGCAGGACAGCGTCACTCAGGACCTTCAGACACGCTGGGTGTAAATGTTGTGATAAAAAAGTTTTTTTAATCTATTAATGTCTAAATGTGATTAGAAACTTTCGGCTCCCTTTCCTGCACCGTTGACCATGCTTCACTTAGATCTGTCCTGCTGGTGGAAACGACATTCCTTTGGAAGAATCTTCTCTTGGTTGCATAATAGATGACGGTTGTCCAGCCTTAAAAAGTCCAATAGTCAGAAAAAGTCAAATATTTTGTGGAAAGTCTTTATATCAAAGCTGAGATTTGGTAATTCAGTGATTAAATCAGTCAGTATCTTGTAAAACAGAAATATTACAGTAGGACAGCTTCTATCTGAATTAAATCCTTGCTCTTAGTGTAATGGCTGGGAGCTATTTGATTATAACTCATTTAGTGAGTTTAAACAGTTTCATTAGTGGTAAAAATTATTTAGATTTAAATCAGGTTTTTTTATTGGATGGTAAAAAATCACTGAACTGTTGCCTTGCAGCAGGATGGTCAACAGTTTGAAACTTAGCTTTCCATGATCTCCATTTTCAAGAGCAGGCTCTCTCTGGGTACTCCGGCTTCCTCCCATGATGCAAAAACTATCCTTGTTAGATAAACTAAACTCTCTAAATTAACTTTAGGTAGGACTTATTTTTTTTCTCCTATTTGTCTGTTTTTTTCTGCATCGGACTGGTGACCTGTCCACCTCTCATCCATTGACCTCTGGACACAGGCGGATAATTCTGGTCCAGAAAATAAGAAGCTTGTTTGGAGATTAGATCACCTGGTTAAGGAAAAAGATGAAGGAAAACTAAGCAGTGTTTAATTTCTAGACCTGGATTATCTGTCCCTGGATAAAGGTTAGAGATAAAAGGAGGGTTAATTATTAAAGGTAGTTATTAAGACTGCAGACATGTTGGTTATGAAAGGAAGACCGGTTTGACTCATTTAAACATGAAGGTACTTTAAATAATTAGTGGTCTAAATACAGTCTATGATGCATTAGGGGAGTCTCAGGGTAGACATTGATGTTTATGTAATGCTGATACTGTGAAAATCTTTCTTAGATCAGCTCTTGACTTCTAGAGTTATGAAATGCATCAGAGACACAGCTGGGTTCATACAAAGCTGTCTTTATGGTGAACTGAGGAGCCCTGCTTGTTCTTAGAGCTGCGGCTCCAGTTCAAAGCAGGGGTCATTTTTATTGCAGCACATCCATTAATTGCTCTTCTGATAAGACTTGTTGACTAAACAGACCAAGGCTAATGTTGAGAGTGTGTTTGGCTCCAGCTTTTGATGGAGGACCGCAGGACGAACCGCCTGGTGGAGAGCATGAACATCTTTGAGACCATCGTCAACAACAAGCTCTTCCTGAATGTCTCCATCATCCTGTTTCTCAACAAAACGGACCTGCTGGTGGAGAAGATCCGCACCGTGGACATCCGCAAGAACTTTCCCGAGTTCAGAGGAGACCCACGCAGATTGGAGGATGTGCAGGTACGTGGTTGATGGGAATATCTAAAACATCTTTTTGTTTCCATCCCAGGGCAGATGGAGAGCGTCTTTGGGACTTCTGAAAGTCAGAATAAAAGGAATGTGCATCACAACAGGTCGTCTTCAGACTTTGCATTTGGAAATTCTTTCTTAATATTGCGTCAAAATACTGTCCCCTAAAAAAGTGAAGATTCTCTTTTTAAGGGAATCACACTTAACTGCTAAATAGAAAGGAAATTACAGATTAAAGAAACACATTTATATGTATTTAACTTAGTTTATTTCTTCCAGCTTTAACTTTCAGGGGAAATTTTATTTTTTTTTTTTTCACATTTCTATTTGCAGATCAGTGTATTCTAAGTCCGATGGGTTGAAAACCATCTCTGAACAACAGTTTCCAAGTTTTGACACTGCTTTAGTCTGGCTTTCACTTGGCCTTTCTAATGGATCGATATGCTTTGATCTATATTATAGCATGCACTGCAAAAAATAGGAAATCTAAGTAAGATTTTTCATATGAGCCTGTTTCACCTTGTTTTGAGCAGGCAATGTAATAAGCAAATTTATTTTTTTAAAGTTATTCAAGACATTTTTGTGGGCATGTAGGTTGTCATTCTACTCGAATGCAAATGACCCACTGAGCGCTCAGAAAACTCTGCCGTCTCGCATAGAACTTCTTTTCTCGCCCACATGCAGGATTTACCTGCTGCTCGCTCTGTTTGCCCTGAGAGATGGGAGACAGGCTTGTCAGCTAGCGGTAGCTTGCGCCAAGTTTACTGCGACAAACAAAGCAACCGAGATATTATATTTTACTGAATGTTACCTTCTAATGGTTAGCCAAGCATTTCTTCTGCTTCTTCTTCCTCTCTGATCGATGATAGCAGAAAAAAGGGAGTGAAATCATTCCATCGATATACGTTATGATGCCAACATGATCCTCACACCAGACTGCTAAAAGTATTCCCGCGAGCAAGAGAAGCGTTCCTCTGCTTGCACGCATGCTGTAAATCCTGTGGACTTTTCTCTAGAGCTCTCAGTCGGGTTTTCATTGCATAACTGCATGGTTTAAATGCCATATTGAAGCTGTAGGAATACATTTACGCTAAACAGACCCTGATTTATCCTGCCCTTCTTTCTTCCAGGCCTTCCTGGTCCAGTCATTCAGCAGGAAGAGGAGAAACCGAGGGAAGCCGCTCTTCCACCACTTCACCACTGCAGTGGACACAGAAAACATCCGCTTTGTTTTTCACGCGGTCAAGGACACGATTCTGCAGGAGAACCTCAAAGATATCATGCTGCAGTGACTTTTATGTTTATGTCAGTCCAACTGTGAAAACCCGCCACCATTCCAGCCCGGGAGGACTTGGCTCTGACACCACAGCCTACAATGTGTTCATATTACCTGTGGAGCCAGGAGTTCCTACATGCCTGTGGATACCCTGCATTTAACCTGTGTAGATGTGCAAATGAGCTGGGAAGGAGAGCTAAACTCTTGGGGGGGGCAACACCAGCTACACCTGCATTAGCACTAAAAGGGTTGTTCCTCTTATGTACATAAGACTATGACAACATTGTCACTAAAGTGAGTTGAATGGCTGCCTGCCAAAAGCAGGATAAAGGATGGATAGAAGGACTGAGAGCAAGATGGAAAAGTCCTCATCTTCAAGTACGCGTGATGAGAGGGGAAGAGGGGTGAGGGTCTGGCCCCAAACTGGTCATATGCTGCGTTACGTGATAAGGTTGCACAAGTGTTCCTGTCAGTGAACTTTAACAGAGAGAAGAAGCGAAACCCTCTCATGCTCACTATCTCCCTGTAATTTACTCCCAACGTCACACGAGAAAGAAACAGCTGCAGAGAAGAAGTCTTCTGCTAATCTCCTCTCCCTCATCTCTGGTCCTCCGCAGCACAATAGACAGACTGTTTGTTTGTTTCCTCCTTCTCCAGCAGAAAACTGCAGACAGACAAATTAGAGATTCATCTTAGCTGAAGGAAATACAGAAGTCCTGACTTATACTCCACTCATGATTCCTCTCGTCCTCTTTGAATGCACCACAAATGCCCCAAACTTCACATAGGGCATGTTTGAAGTCTTTAGTAGTGGTTGTGGTAGAATTTTACCTGTTGTTTTGGGTAAACCCGAAGGGAACAGCAGTAAATAATGAGGCTGAACTGCAACTGACCCATTTCCCATGCTTCTGGGGGAGATTTTAGGCTTGTTCTGCAGTTTAAACGCTGCAGCTATATTGAAGACAATTTAGTGTTTACACAAGTTTTGGAAATATTTATCCTTTTTTTTCTTCTTCTTCCTAACGGGGAATGTTGTTTTAAGAGTCCTGAAATAAATTAGTACTTCATTGCAGTAGCATAATCCTCAATTTTAAAAGTAAACACAATTCAGGCTTAAATTAGGATATATACCAGAAATCTTGCAAACCAAACTGTTAGGCTCTGAACATTAACAACCTTACGGCTTTTCTGTGGGGTGTTGTTTCTGGCTCTGGAAGGAGCCATTTTTGTTTTGATTTTCTTTTTTCCTATTTCTTTGATCATTATCTTCCAAAAAGGGATTTATAATGACTCCGGTTAAATTGGAGGCAGAATGTAGGAGATTTATCTATTCTGTTATTTCAAAATGTCCACCATGCCATGTAGGGTTCTCTAAGGAGCAGAATCAGGCCCATTAGTGGGAGTTTGTTTGTTTGTCTTTCACATTTTCTAATCTCTTAACCAGAGTGTCTAAAGGTGCGTTCACAGCGGATGCCAGTCGTGCGAGTGAATTCCATGTTTTTCCTATACAGAGGTGTATTCAGAGGCGACCAAACAATCAGCGATATGAAGGGCACATATTTGGTGATCGGAGCGAAGCTGCACTGTGAGAACATGTGACACTTAGTGAAAAGTGAAATTTTGCAGATGTGGAAAAATCTGAACTCCTCTGTTAATTTGCATCGTGTTAATCAATCAGGGGCTGGATGATGTGAGGCTAAATAGCACAGCGGAACCCCTTTTTTTTTTTTTGTTAAAACTCACCAGAACGGATTGATCCGTCCTTCTGCAGCAGTAGAGGAGCTCATGATACTTGGTCCTGGATGGAGGGAGGTACTATAGGAAGCAATTATCTGGCTGAGAGCAGGTCTGATGCACCCAGAGACGCTGGTTTTATTCAGCTTTCCAGGTTCAACAGAGCACTGCTGTGTGTTCAGTTCCCCTGAACTCTGTAAAGTTGAGGTCAGGTAGTTTGAACATTGAATTTCTTTTTGTTTAACAAAAAACAAAACATCGATCTAGTAGATTAAAGTCACTGGAAGCTACTTGTCGTAGAGCCAATCTTGCGTTCTTCCTGTATCTGTTCCTCACTTTATACAATGATGCTTGAGTACCGTGGAAACTAGCTGAGATTGTTCACATCTGATTATCATCAGTGGATAGTAGTGATACACAAATAATAATCCCCCATAGGAACCAGGAGAGAGGAGCACATCTAAAGGAAAACTCACTAACATATAAGCGCAGACTGACGATTGGCACAGTTTAAAAATAGTAATATCTGTTGCAGAAGTTCAATCTAAAACTCTTTTAAAATTTAGTTTAAGGAGATTTTTGATTTGCCCTTGTGTTGAAATAAAAACAGTAGTATTAAAATATAAGAATTAAATTGTAATAATACTTTGTACAATACACGAAATTTAATTTCAAATGGAGCATATTTCTTGAAGATGCCAAAAAATTATCTCATGAAAATATCCTATGTGTACATTCCAATGTTGAGAGGAATAAAGGAGCAAAGTGAGCAATACCACATGATAAAATATATCTGTCTTATTGACGAGGGGGAAACCCTGGCCTTGTGCATGGGTTATTCATGCAGTGATTTAAATTTTGATTTAACTGTTTAGTTATTTTCAGAAATATACATTACATTTATATCAAGTTGGCCTTTCCGTCCCCCTGCTGCAGCTCCCAGGGTCGAAGGACTGTTGACCCCTGGTCTAAAGATTTCACAGGTCAGAGTCATTTTGGACACAGGCAATCTTGGAATTTTATGGATATGAAATTTGATTATTTAGGCGAACCATATCAGACATATAAACTCTGAGTTTCAATTTCAAGCAGAGATAGCCATAAGAGCTGCAGTAGTGTGTAAACGTACTTAAGTGTGAAAAATATTCTTTTTTTTGGATGTTTGTCACACTTAAGTGTTTCTGAACACCACAATAATTATATTAGTCAAAAGACAAAAGCTGTTAATGCAAAATTCAGGTTTTAGCCAAAGGATATTTTATACAGAATCAAACCAGGTGAAACTAAAACTTTTCAACTTGAGGGATTCTAGGTAGAGCACATTTATTGACACATTTTGAAGAAAAAAAAATCTTAAATTCCAAATATTTGTGTCTCTTTGTTTTACAAATTTGGTATAATCACGATTAATCCTATTAATTGTTTCAGCCCTAGACTGAATATTCATTACGAATATCTGCAGCAGAATTTCCCTAGTCATATTAAAGATATCTAAAATTTGAAATTGCCTAGTCATTGATGAATTGTACTAATCTATGACTTCAGTTTTAAATACAAAGTCATTCCTATAAAGTCATTCCAACTAGTGGGGGAAAAAAAAGTTCTACTGGTATATAAATTCTATATATGATTATAATTACAGATAGTTTAGCTTTCCGTTTAAAAAGTGAAACCGTTTTGACGAAACCACAGAATCTTTATGATGAGAGCTGAACTACAGAGAATATTTTGCAGCATTCGGTGTGAACGTACCTTAAGAGTTCTGCATCTCTGATTTATTTCTAAACCAGAGAAACATTAACTTAATTATGTAACACTTTGTGATCTGATAGCTGCCATGATCAGCTAGGATGGTTTAGTTCAGATTCCTGATGTATCCGTCTTAAAGAAAATTTAGAAAATTAATTCATACTAACTTGTTTTGTCTTCAAGGGCTTATTAGATAAGTATATCTGTGTGTCATCAGCACAACTATTCAAAATGATCCCTTTATCTCCTCTAATTCTGCCAGGTGGAGGCAAATCTTTATAGGAAAGAGAACTGACCCGAGCACTAAGCTCTGTGGTACTCCATAACTAATTGGGTGTTCGAGAAAGATTTATGCTACTGCAACATAATTTATTTATTTTCATGCATCTAACATGTTTACCAGAGTTGCCAATAAAAGGGGAGGGTGTAGCTTGTATTTTTTTTCAGAAAATTTCCTATTTAAATCTGAAATTGAAATAAATATCTCAAGAAAATAAAACCGAAATTTTTAATGCAGAGATTGAACTAGTGAGGTCACGCTCAGAAAACTGAACGAAAAGCAACAGCAGTTCTTCCTAGAAAAGCTCCAACATTTGTAACTGGTTGTAAATAACATTGTTTGGTTATTTAATGAATAGATATCAGTGGATGCAACTCTTTGAAGCATTGCACATCAATATACTTCAGAATAAAAACTAATCTGAACCTTTTTTTTTTATATATTCCATTTTTAATAAGAAGGAAACCACTTTTTAAAAAATCCAGCAAGTAGGTCTATGTAGCAAACACTTAAGCAGCTAAAGAAGCAGATGTTTTCCCAGAAAGTGGACAGAAAAGATGGAAGAAGTGGGTTGATAGCAGAGCAATTAGCCAGAACATAACAGCCTATATGTGACTAAATATCCCTTATTAGCTCACTTTGTCACATTTATAGAGAGGGACAAAAGGTCTGACCCAAAATACTTTGAACACCTGAAGGCTCTTCATTATTCATCATCACTAATTCAAATTACTATTCTCCCACACGGACATTTAATCCTCTGCACCTTTAACCCTCGTCTGGCATGAGGAGCCTGACATTACAGCCCATTAACTGGGCCTTTAAGGTTCAGCTGATGAAGAACGCACTCAAGTCCAAAATCTATCGAAATAAAAATAAATAAAAGTGTTAATGTCTGTCAGGTTATTAAGCACAAATAAAAGTACAGTTACTATAGTTACCTGCCGCCACAATTAGCCTGTGCTCTGATTTATGGAGGTGGTTTAACTGGCAACCTGAAACACTTGGTCACTTCACAGCTGCCTTCATAAATTTGCAAAGTTTAGTTTTATGTCAAATGTGTTGCAATGAGTTGCATTTTGGTACCGCAGCTGTAGGGAACCGGGTTGGGTCTGGCCGCTTTTTCACTCCTCAGTGTTTCCTTTGCTTGGTCTTGAGGGGAGAGAAGGACGCAGCGTGAACGCTTCACTCCACCTCATCATAAGAATAATACTGTGTTAGTTTGTGTTCAAAGTGACTTGTACTTCCTTCACACTGAATACTGTAAATTTCTGACTGACACTGTATGTACATATGTAGTAACATGGAAAAGTTTTGAATGATCTCAGTTCTTTATATTTTGCTTCCAAGTAGTCAGATATCATCTGTTTAAAAGTTTCTCCGAGCTTTCTGAAGGTCTCAACTGGGTCTCATTTCAAGGCTACATTAAAAGTAATAATATAATAATATTTACAATAAATATTTGTTTCTTTTTTGGTATCAAGCATATAGATAATAGAAATTATCCATTTAAGTTTGCATCTTAGTATCCAAATTAGCCCAATTAAGCATAATTGGATGTGACCACTAATGAGCAACAGAATGATCCCACTGTGATCTTTGGTAATATACATTGCTAGCTCTGCGGCATTATAATGCATAGTTTTCTCTTTTTTTTTTCCTTTGTTTCCATGTATTAATCCTAAACGGGTTTAGGCAGGGCAAACTTAAAAAGTGCAGCTCCGACATGGAGTAATTAGTTTAAGAAAGCAGGTGTAATGTTCAGACGCACTTCATCTGAAATCTACCTCGCTGTATTTTCTTCTTTTTCTGCAGCTATGTCTAATTCAATACAAATACAGCTACAATCTTAAATAAATGAATGTCGTTAACTGTTTCATATTAGTGCTGCATTGCTAATTTGTTTCTATTTCCGCTGCTTTCTGGGCAGCTCGGCTCACACATAGAGCAGCAGCCGATAGAGTCTCTGTTTGACTGCCAAAGCCGACGTAAGGTTGGATAACTCGTTTTTTTATAGGAAAACCTAGTTTTGATATTTGTATGTTTGCAGCATTCAAATTTTCCTGTGCAGACTTGTAGCAAACTAAGCCACAGACAGCATAATGACTAACATAAGCTGCTTTTGATTGATTGAATTCAATTAGGGACTCTTCATGGAATCTGTAAAATAACATCAATAATAGCAGATAGACAGAAAAAAAACTTTTTTGCTCAAACAAGGTGATAAAAACCTGGCGTACAGTAGATGATCAGATAAAGGTTGATGGATTTCATAGGATGTGTGTCGCTCCAACACATCTGTTTTTCTCTGTACTCATTTTGTCTAATTCCCTTATTCTATGTGCAAATATTAGAAGACATGATGTCACAGTCCTGTACAATGAATTGATGAAAATGAGTGAAAACCGTTGCTAAGATCTTCAGAAAGCCTGGAGAGCTAAGAGTTTGGAAGACGAGCATTAAGAAACGAGCGGGCCTTTTCATAAAACTTTTGCACATTGCCCTAACAGTAAAACCATATGTAAACCAACTGTATGTTTTTGTTCCCATTCTGGTTCACTAACCCTCCTTCTCTCAAACTTGTTCTTATATTTCCTGAGTGACTGTGTTGCACTGGATGTTTCTTTTTGGGAGGAAAAAGCAAATAAAAAAAAAAACATTTAAAAAAAGATGCAGATTTTTTTTTCTTACAAAACGCCAAGCAGGAAGAAGAGAAGCTAATGATTCATTGCAACCTTTGTTATTTCTATGTTCTGTTTTGTTGTTTTTTCCAGGTGCCTTTACGCTGTCCTCTGTTGTGAAATACGCAGCCTTTTGCTGACAAGCTGTTTCTTTATATTTTTGCCATGGGACGTCAGGACAGAAATAAAAAAAAGAGCCCTCTGTCAATAATTTAAATGTTGTTTTTTTCCTCTCAATTCCAGATGGAATCAGTATTCCTATATGAACAAAAGGAGCTTTCATAAGAATGTAAAAAGCTCCTGATAAGTAATGTCAGACTGATGTTCTGTGCAGAGCGACTGTAGGCCCTTATTCTACATAATGTAATCCGAAGCTCATCAGCGAGAGCTATCAAGCCGCTGGGCATGAGAGCAAAATTGAAGTCGGGCGATATCTCTTTTACCCTGCAGAGTTTGACCTTTGCTTTGGCTTTTAATCAGAGCGACTCTGCTGCATTACAGCCCCTGAGTCTCAGGAGACGGGGAGGGGGTCCAGAAACAACCAGACCAGAGCTTTTTCACTGTTGTTTTAGAAATCGCCGGTCAACTTAGATTTATTTACACAGGAAGTGAGCCGAATGTAAATTAAGGTCCACATACATGCATGTCAGAGAAGCCCATGTAAGACTGTGAGATCTCTGGCACCAGAAAAGAAAGAGAAGGGGGAAAAAAATCCTGACCTTGTGAATGAGAATGCACAGACTGGGGGAGGGATGGACAAAGGGAGGAAGAGGAAATACAAGAAAAAGTAAGAGGATAGCAGGAGGGAGGAGGAGGAGGTTATGTTTCCTCTCAGCCCACTTCCTGTCCTGATCCTAAAATGGAGCGACTGTAAGAACGACATCCCTCAGCCTGGTTCTCCTCCCAAACACACACACACACACCAGCGAAACCCAAAGCAGCCTCCTGTGGGATCCTGCAGAAAGCATATCCCCAGCAGACTGCAACACAAGGAAGCATGAGTCTACAGCGAGGAGGCGGCACTGGACATTTTGTCCTAATGTTTCACTCCATGTGTACAACCTATCTAAGCTTACTTGTGCGAAATGTCAGTGATGACATCCAGACCTGTGTGAGGAGCAGTCCTCACTCATTTTCTTCTCCTCAAAAACAGGAGTGCTTGTTTATTTCTGTAAACAAGCAAACATGTCCTACATCCCATTCTAACACTAACTCTTAATCTTTTACTGCTTGAACTCATCCACATCTTACAAACACAGATTTTCGTGCTTTTTAGATTTTTTTATGTGGTAGATAAGAGGCAGCTTGAGTCCAATTGTAAAGACATCTAAATATTTGTCTTAGAGGAGTTAAAGTGTCCAGAAAAGTCTACACATGTAGAATTTGTAGGACACTAACCATATACTAGAAAGAGATTTGTTTTCTTCCAGGACTGTGATGTATTAATCTCCTTCCATCGTTCCATCGCGTTTGACTAGCTTCTCTATCATTGCTGGAGAGAAGCATCCCCACAGCATGATGCTGCCACCACATATACATTTCCCTGTGGTAATGTGTGTTCAGGTTATGAAAGGTTCTAGTTTTTCACATGCATTTAGGCAAAAAAAAAAAAAAAAAACTGGTTTGTTCTTTTTTTACCTAGGTCTAATAAAAAGACGTACCACCTACATGTTTCATTGTATTTATATTTAACACTGACATTTGAGTTAGTTCGGCTCAAAGAACTTAATCATTCTGAGAAGGAAGTAAAAAAATAAATTGGTTTATAAAGTTTCTTTGGACTGCGCTATCTCTATAGTTATGCTGCTATAGGCTTAGACTTCTGGAGGACATAGGGACCCCTTTTTTAATCATTCTGCTTCATTCTTTCTCTATTCTCCCAATCTGCAGAATCTGTTAGTTCTATCTCTAACGTTATGCTCTCTCTGCTTTTTCTCATAGTAGCTTTACCTCATCTGTTCCTGTTTGGTTGTGACACAATCCTGGAGAGAAATATCAGCTGTGCTGACACCTTTGTTTATATATGCTGGAGCTCTGCCTTTTTTCCAGTGTAGTCCTGTTTCTGTGACTGTGACTGGCTGGA